GGACATTCTATGATTCTATGATTTGTGGCCAGCTGTTTTCTTAAAGGAGAAATAAGGACAAAAAAGAAGAGCATAAACCATGCTTCACTTTAAGATGACCATCTTATGCATCTTGTTCTCTATTAGAAGAAAAATTCTGTCATAGATCAGTGTAGGCACATTTCTGCGCTGCTACAAATTCATCTTGGAGTTGCTAATGCCCAAAAACATAGCCTATGGTTGTGGCAGTGCCAGTAAATCTGGAAATAAGGCACATAGCTTTGTGGAAAATACATGAAGAAAAATCTCATATATAGCTATTATTGGAAAATCTTGGGGTTTGCCCATAGAGTTTTGGAATTATAAGTATTGTTTACTTTTAAAGTTCTGAGATAGATGTGGCTGAATTGTCAACGAGCAAGATTGTTCTTCATGGCAATAGTTAATGCTTGCTAAAATTAAAGGAGAAGGAGCAATCCTGTTTCTCAAATATACCCTCATGTAGTGGTTAGATAAATGGGAATGAAATGGTCATTTATGTGCAAGTTTCTTTAAATAATAAAAGCAGATGGTGAAATCTCTGGAAAAACAAGTTCAGTTATTGATTGCATAAAATAAGTTCTTTAAAGACCCAGTCTTCACAGGGTTTCCAAAAGACTAGACAGAGAGAGGATTACTTATCATCCCTTTTTTTAGGCGGTTCCATTTATTTACTTAATGTGGCAGTTTCATTTTCTCATTGTATGCTTCATATGCTCATCTAAAAGATTTTTTTTTTTAAATGTACAATGTGACAAGCTGTATTCTGTGGCATAAATAGCGTTTACAAGTACAGCTCCTGTGCAGTGCAGCTCTCCCAGGACTCAGGACATGCACTTCATTCCTCTGCACCTTCCCAGAACCGATCTTTCCCAGATGCAGATCAGAGAGCAGATATGGTGGCCCTTATTATTCATAGCTACACTGGACTTCTCTGTTGCCAGTGCTGGACGTGTAAAAGTCTCTTTTCTGGTTTTAATTCTGGCTGTTGGGATTCAGGCACTGTGTCTTTATGAGGTAACCTGATTGCATTTCTTGGTGAGGTTCTCAACCCTTTTTGAAACAGCTGCACAGAACCAAAACAATCATAAGCAGGCTCACGGTATTTACATCAAGTAATGTTTCTGAATAAAAGAAGTTATGCCATAAAACAGATATTTCCTAATTCTTGACAGGTTACAGTCATAGAAAGTATAACACAGTTTTTCTATTGGGTGAAGCCAGCATGTCCTTTTCAATAGAGTCAGCATTTACAGCTTCTGGCTGAGATTCAGCTGTCCTTTCCTATTAAGCACAGCACTTCAGTTTGTGTTTTAATTTCATTTTCAAGAAGTAACCACGTATGAATCGGTGTACAGACCCCTTCTGAATGGGAAGACCTCAGGGAGCTACATCTCTAAATGTCACTTGACAGCAGTTTATGCATTGCTATCAACATCTGATACACAAATGCAACTCCATGTTGTCTAGAGCTGGTCACGTAACAGTAATTCCTCCATGACACTTTTTTTTTTTTTTTTTTTTTTTGCAAGAACAACTATACTATTTAATTATATTTCTTTCTTTGTTGTGGTGATCTTCAGTGAGTCTGATTATTAATAAGTTGAAACTGTTTTTATTTACCTTATTCTTTGATTTGAATGTTAAGTGTTAAGGGTCAAAATTTGAATTTCTTTCATGCCAAATGCCATTCCCTAAAAGAGGCTGACATTTCCCTCATTTGAATATGTCAGATCACATTCTGGATCTTTGAGAGGCTTTTTGATATATTTTTTTTAATTTTGATTGGTAGGAAATGTATAGTCATTAGTCATGTTCCATATGTAACTAATGTAGATAATACTATGCATGTAACATACACACAGCCATCTGGAACAGAAACGCTGAAATATGTTTCCTATAAGGAGCTTCCCCTCCATGTGATTTTTTAATTATTATGCAGTTTGTACTTCCTGTATGGATCGATTCCTCAACTATGAAATATGTGCAATAATGTACATTTATCCATAAGATTGTGCATATACAGGCATAACAAGTAGAACTTACTGTTCCCTCTGCCAGCCCTGTTATGAACCATTATGTTTTCACAGCTATCAGACAGCCATGACTCCACTTGTAACTATATGGCAATGTTATCAAACAGCCAACTCCAACATAGCACATAAATTAAATGCCTCTGTTACATGCATTATCTACGGAAATGAGCATGGCATCCATTTATGTATGTTAAAATCAAATTTCAATTGAATAGATAAATAAGCACAAGTTATGCATCTACAATTAAAAATACGTTTTAGGATTCTACCTGTGAATTCTTTCTTAGTCAACTTCTCAATTACACGTTTTTGTGTGCTACACTCCTGTTAGTCTGTAAAGATTTCCTTGAGTATAATTACCAGAAGATGCTCAAGTTTCCAGGTACCTTCTGAATAGATTGTTGTACAGCTTTTTTAAAGGTGATCTTTTCAGAAATGATACAAGTGTGAAAGATGAATTAGACAAGGATTTAATGAGACTTTTCTATGGTGCACAGCAATCTCACTGCTCTCTGTGACACCTGTATTTGGTTACCCTGTGTTTCTAGACTGCAGCTGGTAAGTTACAGGATACGATTCCTGATTGGATGTCACAAGTAGGAAAGAAATGTATACATGGAAAAAGATTTTATTTTGAAAATATCAGATGTATCTTGGATATCCTTGGATATCCTTTGATCTGTCTTTTGAGATTCAAAGTATGTGCTAGTCCTATTAATTAATACTGCTTTAAATGCAAACAGTGCTTTGCATATCAACACCATATTACCAACAAAAGTGTAATGACAATACTCACTGTTCTGTCCTCTTTACAATCCATTGTCCAACTGACATAAAAGTTATTAATTGCCTTGTGTTTGAAAAATTAGCACCTGTTCCTAAAATGGGGGAATTGCCACATAGAAACAGAGAATTTCTTCCACCAATCTGAATAGAGAGGGCTTGGTTCTTATCGCACAGGGGCTCTTTGACAACTGAGATTGTCAGAATCTTAGAAGACTGAAAACACAGTTAGGCAATGTATATGCTGCAAGAATGGCTCTTTATACTTCCAAAAATTTCAAGCATAATTGGGTGTCAAGTTCTATACTTACTATACTATGTTAGCCAAATTTATGTCTTTTCCCATGAGGAGGTCATCCATTGTCTTATTATTTATTTGTAAACAAAATGCTCTTTTGAGATGCTAATCCATGATTTTTGTGGGATAGGTAAGTAGCTATGCATACAGGATACTTTGAAGACTTCAATGAATTGAGGACACACTGTTAAATGTGTCTCAGTGGTGTTAATTGTTGATAATTAGTTCCACATTTTCTCTGCCAGCTTTTGAAGGAAGAGATTTTGGTAATTAGTTAAGTGCAATGTAGTTAATATGATGATAAAAACTCAGACTCTTTTAATAATTTTTAGGAAAGATGGATCAAAAGAGCCAATAGTGGAAATGAGAACAGAGGATGAAAGAATTACCAGCCATGAAGATGGGAGCCCAGTAAATGAGCCGAACGAGACTACTCCTCTCACAGAACCGGAGTAAGTAACCCAATATTTCCCAGTGTCTTAGTCAGAATCTTGGCTGCAAGGCTGCCATCACACTGCCAGGTAGAAAAGAATATGACAGCCATGTGCTGTGGCAGTGCAGTTCACCAGTGTGGTTTTTTACAGCAGTCAATCTAAACCACAGTACTCCAAGGACAATGGCCAGGGTTATTATCAGGCATTTCTCTCTTCTTTCTGTGACCCAGACTCTCACTCACATCAGCCCTGGGATGACAACATAACAATTGTGGGAGTTCTTCAACATACCTGGATGTTAGTGAACATCTTAAGGAACTTTTTCTTGCCTTCTCTGCCACACTGACTCCCACAGTGCTCCTTGTTCTCTTAATGAAGACAGCACCCTGGGGACATGGGCAGCTCTGCCCTACCTTCACTATCCTTCCTACTATTCCCCTGCTGATGGCCCAGGAGGCCCCTCTTATCTCCAGCCATCTCAGCAGCCCATGCCCAGCTCTGGTGGGACATGGGCCCACACACCACTGCCATTCTTTCTCTGCCTGCCAGGCTGAAGGGCGGGAGCATGAGGGCCAGGCATTGCTGCCTCCTTGGATCAGCGGTGTGCCAAGCATTGAGAGAACTCTTATAGAATAGTCTTTTTCTCTTTAATCTTCTGAAAAGTGCTTGGAATTTGTACTGAGAGGTACTGCAGTGAATCAAGTTATCTAAGGGGTCAGTGGAATGTAACTGTAAACATTGTACAAACTACATTAGGCTATGGCTGTAGTAGCAGCTAAACCACTGATGCTAAATTGTTTAATGTCTTTAAGACATGGAAATGTGGTGGAACATGATAGTAGGAAAGATTTAGTTCAGATCTTTCTGCTTGTCCAAGTTAGTAGAACAGCTGGCAGACTGAAACATGAAACAGTTAAGGTCAAAAATGTTTTATTATCTTACTGAGGGAAAGAGTCAGTCACTGGTTGCAGGGAAAATAGTTAAATCATTGGTACAACTGATAAGGTGCCTGATGGGTATTAGTCTCTGAGAGAATAGGGGTGCTGAAAGATACTAGTAATGATGACGATTTCTTTCTTGGTCATTTCTTTTCTGACAAATAATTGGCAAAAGACAGCAGTGCAAGGCACAGCTGGATGAAGGTCAGATGGGTTAGCTGAAGTTTCAGGACAGTGTCACTTAGGAAACCAAAGATGAGTCAGAAGCATCAGGCAGTCAGGACATCTGAAGGGACACTGGCTCTAGGGGAGCACTGCAAGACCTGCTCATTCACAAGTCATAACAGATAAAGCAGAAAAGCAATATAAAATATGGGTGAGATGCCACTGAAGAAAAAGAGGATGCGATAGGATAAAACAAAGTATTTCTGAAGAAATAACACACACACACACTGAACAACAGGTGCAACAGCAATCTTGTAGGGAAGAGCTTAGCTTGCAGGAGGGAAGAGCTTCAGGGACGAATCAATCAGGCAGTGTCCATACAAGGCAGGATTCATTATGGCTAATTTAGGCTGCCTTAGAGACATCAGAGTTAAATCTTCAGTTTAAATTAGGTAAATTTTGTACTCAGCAGAGGGAGACAGGAAATGTCTATGTATTTGGAAGGAATTATTTCAGCATAAGATGCCTACCTATGTGATGCCTGTCTCTTTCTTGACTGTGAATTCAGTCTAAGTTTATGCCTAACTTTCAGGGAGCCTTTCTTGCATTTTCTTTTTGAAGCTGAGCTACATATACCCAGGCACTATATTGCTTTGAATGTAAGAATTTGTGTAAAATAACTCAGAAGGAGGGTTTTTTTCACAATAATGTAGTATTTTCATTATATTTACTCATATTACTCAGTAACCTTCATTTAAACTTAACTCACTGTTAAAGCAATATTTGGGATCCATTTGTGAAAAATGAGCACAAAGCACTTTTACCTGGAAGTAAACAAGTTTTAATAATACTGGCAGGTAACCAATATAAGTTGTGTATTTCTTACTGTATTTCTGAAACATGATTAAAATGCCATGTGCAACATGGTACTATAATTAAATCCCTAGTCTGATATTGTTATATTCCTAGTATTGGTTGAGTTTTTTCTGCATATTAAGGAAGCTGGGTGAATTTCAGTATCAAAATGGCTAGGAGCCATTTTCCTATGAAATAGTCATCTAATAGAGAAATAAATATTCTAAGTTTTGTGTGAGTAATATCAGCAAAATATTGTGATTAGGCCACATGCAGTGCTAGAGGAATTAAATATCATTACTGATTGATAATAGACAGTGTCTGAAAAACAAAAAGAAACTTTTAAGGTTTTCCAGTCCTTTTTTTCTTCAAAAATACTTCAATTTTAAAACATTTTGATTTAAATAATTAATGTTCGCCCAGCTGAAAAATATAGAATGATTTCAAATAGGCACAGCTATATAGTGATTAAGTGTAAGAAAACTAATGTAATTAAATCATTTAAACTTGATTTAGTTAGTTAAAAAAGGAAAACTACTGAATCACATAATAGAGATTAAATATGAATTGATATTTGACACAAAGGAGAGGAAAATTTCACAATAACGAAAATGTTGTCCTCATCAGTAGGTGAACTGATCACATCATATCTAAAAAAACACAAGGTTTTGGTTTTTTTTTGTTTTTTTTTTGAGATAGTAAGGTCATAGAATGCTGTACTGACTTTTTCAATGAGGGAAATTTATAAACACTTCCTATGTTTGTAGTTTGTTTTATTTCTCTTCTTGCTTGCATTAAAAGCAAGGCTAATTGTGTCAGACTGTTTGCATTAACCTGGATTTTGGTTATATCTAATATTTTTCAACAGAGTTTAGCAATATCTTTCTATTTAAAATACTTGTAAATTATTTGTGACATGCTCTTAATCTACTTCTCAAAAAGTATTTTATTTAAATTTACATTTAATATATTGTCAGTTGCTCAGTTATGACTTAGGCTATATATTTCCTCATTTTCAGCACCATCATTTCAGTAGCTACTCTGATCTCATATAAATCTTGGTTAAATATGGTTTATTTTTTTAATACCAGCACATTTTGCTTTATTAGGCCTATAACACAGGTGAGTCTCATGAGTCATGTTTCCTCTGCCTCCATGTTTTTTTTTTCTTTTTCAAAAATAGAACTACATTAATTCTGCTGCTTCCATTCTTTCAAGTCTTGTGTTGTGGGCTGTTTCCTTTGTGTGTGCCATGTGGAACAGACAGTTGCTTGACAACATCCTCTGTGTTCAAAGCCAGAGAGCTGATGATACACATCCCATATTTTACTATAACAGAAGAAGTTAGTCTTCTGATAGATTTTTCTTAGATAAGATTATGCTCATTGTTTAACATCTGTTTAATTTCAGCCAGATGAAATGTCATATGACTGAGAATTTAAGTATTGTTTTGTTAATTGTCATTAAGTGCTGTTATTACAAGACATTCCTAAGGGATTTCTATATAGAATAACATATAGCACATTGGGACATCAAAGCAATCACAGTGGAAGATTACTGAAACATTTAATGGTTGTTATGAATAGGAAAAATGCATATGCGTACTACTCCCTAGTTAAAAAAAATACGGAAAACAAACTCAAACTGGAATCAGGATAAACAGCTACTATGCCTGAGAGATATTATTATGGGGACATCTACCTAAACCATACATATTTTTCACAGCTATATTTTTGACAGCTAACTAGCAGCAGTAGGGAATGATTTTTTTGAACTTTTTGAAAGAAATCAGTGTTTTGTCTTTCCTGTAAATAAGAGTGGGGATTGTCTTGATATTGGAATTTAGGATTGTACAATTGTAAGACTCAAAGGAACATTTCTGAAATTAAAATACCATCTGAATGTCTTCATGCATCCGCACAAGAACTGGAAGGGACTAATATTAATTTCTTTGAAAACGAAGAACCTCAATACTCGGAATCAAAAAATTGTATAATATTTTCATTGACTGATGTTTCTATAAGCACTATGGACCGTATAAAGAATGCACTCATTGTAGACTTAAATTCCACATCATTTGTTATTTTTTGTAATGTCCATGATTTCTCTTTTTTTCTGATAGGAAGCTGCCACTGAAGGAGGAAAATGGGAAAGAAGCTTTAAATGCAGAAACCATAGAAATCAAAGTTGCTAATGACATCATCCAGTCAAAAGAAGATGATAGCAAAGCATAAGATAAACTACAGCTTTCTGGATAATACATTTGGATAAAAGCAACCCCGTGACCAAAACTTTACAGCTGACCTTAATTTCCTGGGAAACTTAAGCTTGGAATAGTTAGTACATGTGTACATATGATAAAACAGTTTCTGTCTACAGTTCTTTTCTATTTTTTTGTTAATGGTTTTAGTATGTTGTTTTACTGACACCAAGTCCCATGGTATAAATTGGAAAAATCTTCTGAATAAGAACTATAACTTACTATATGAAAAAGTATGTCACTTAGAAGAATACTTGGCAAAGCACCCCTAACCACAAACAACACATCGTGTCTCTCCAGATCTTACAGGGCAATCTACATACATAAAGTGCCATTTGTTATTGTATTTATTTCCAATTATAATCAAGGAAAAGTTGAGGTTGCCTTTAAAAAAATGAAAACCAATCTCAGCATAACATTTAAGATCTTATCACTGGCAGACACTCGATAGTTATTCCAACTGTGCATATCACTTGAAACAAAAAAAGCAACAAACTGTCTTCAACAACACAAAGCCAGCTCCACCCGTAGTTTTACCTGGGTTCTCTTGTATCATAAAAATTTGATAACTATGATGTACAGATTTAAATCAAAATGGCTGAATATTTTATCGAATATTCACCTCATCCTAACGTTAGAGTGTGACTGAAAGGCCCAGGATTTTCAGAATGCCAGATTTTCTACATTAACCTTTGGAAGGTGGTGTGTAAACTGATATGTTGGATATGTGTGGAAAGGGAACTCTTTTTTGAATAACTTTTGGCTTCAAAGGAAACCTTCTAACACAGACTCACATTAGTTGCCCCAGTGTATTTATGCGTACAAGTATTCACTCTTCTAACCGTTCAGTCAAGGGATAAACTGCATTTAGGTTTTCACCACAAATCGGTATGTGAAATATTTGAAGTTGGCCTTATTAAAGAAGTTCTCGCTATGTTATGAATTTTTATCTTATAACAAGAAACATAAGAACAGATGGAAAGACTTTGGCTAAGTGGTTAGGAACATTTTTAAATTTTTAATTAATCAGACCGTGTATTAGGCAAAATACTTGTTTCCTGTCAAGCATTTTTTAAGATGATCTATTTTATTATTATGGATAATATGCACTACTTAGAAATTTGGCTAATTTATTTGATGAAAAGGAATATATTTATTAATATTGATTTAATTATGTCACTAATTGGAGTAATACATCCTGCTTCCATTCCAGCACAGTGTATCCACATCTACCAACCTATTCAAAATATTTCTTTGGAAGAAGTAGATAAAATAGTGAACTAGATTAGAAAATTCTACTTGTTAGGATCAAACTGTAGAGTACCTTGTGAATTTTTCACATCTAAGTCATACTCAAGGTTTAAGTGTAGCTTTACTCAGCAAATTATGTCCTCTCCATACTGTATCTGAATTTTGCTATTAGTTGCAAATTTCTACCTAATATCACACAGAATGTCATCAACTCTTAGCTGATATTTTGTAGTTATGTCAAAGTGGTTGACTTTTGTGCAGTAAAGCTAAAAGTGAAATGTAAAAGAATGTTGTTACATTTGAGGATAATGGCACATTAACCTTCTTGTTAACCCAAACATTACCGAATTTGAAAATGATGAGGAGATAATGAATTTTCAGATCTTCCTTATTTTTCAAAGGCACTATTTTATCCAAAAAAAAAAAAAACCAAAACTAAAACAAACAAACAAAAAAAAACTACTTTTAGTCACTTTGGGAAAAACCTACAGTGATACAGTGAACCTAATAGTTGAGAGCAGAGGCATAACACTGATATGGCTAGATGAGAAGCCAAATTCCCACAAAATCAGAACCAAAATGAAAAGTATTAGTAAGAGCAATGATTGACAAAAGTAATGAAAAAGAATAATTTTAAACTGCTGCATAATAGTCTCCTTAAACGCTAAGGAATTACTTCTGGATAAAAGAAAGATGAAGATATTTCTTTATAGCCTGTCACTGTTGCTCCCACATACTGCAGGCAGTATTATCAAGTATCTGCTTGCCTGTTAAATTTCTGTCCTATTTCTTTCATAGTAGTGTACACAGTGAGCAGAATTGCCTCCTACTTTATAATTAAGTTTGTCTTGTTTATATATGCAAATATATATTCTTTCTACAAAGTACATGTATGCAACTGGGCTTTCTCCCTCTACTGAAATGCAAGGAAGGGACCTGGAAAATTCAAGTAGTTGGATGTGATTTATGTGGCTTGAACATCCATACCCCGCATCATCTCATGCAGTATTATTACCAAGATGAAGGTACAAGACCTCCTTTTCTCTTCTGCCTGCCATCACAAAGTTAGGTAGTGCATTCTCACATAAGTCAAGGTTCACTAAGCAAATGGTGCTTTTTCTGAAGCCAGCACGATCATTTGCACAACAAGGTTCCTATACAATGGATGCAGGGCTAACACTGTCTAGGCTCAACTGTAGTTGCATTTTAACTTTTTAGTACTTCTTGCTAAAACTTACGTAAAAAACGTAACATGGCTTAACAACTAAAAGTTGGATGTTGTTTTTTTTGTTGTTGTTTTTGTTTGTTTGTTTGTTTTTAATATAGCCTCTAATCCCAGTGAAAAGATTAGAGGATTTCAAAGGTTTCTTCAGCAGATTTAGTATTAATACTCCTGTCCTACTATCTACTAGTAAAATATGCAGTAAAATTATTTCAATAATGTAAGCAAAAGCATTTCTTACTATATTGGAATACAAATCAAGAACTATTTCCAGAAGTATTTCTTTTCTGCATGATTTTAAGTCTCTCGCCAGTTGGGCTGAGAATTGAACAGTTTATAATTACTGGTAGACTGCTCCAAGCATGCCCCTTGTTCTGTGGATTAATAGGTTATCTCTTGTGTTTTGCCTCTGTGCTTTGCAGGAGAAAGCCAAACTATGACAAAATTCTCAAGACCACTAGTATTTGCAAATGTTTCCAAGTGAGGGACAGCGCACTGTAATTTGTAAGATATATTTAGAACTGGAGTAACCTCATGTCTTTATTTTCTTTTCTGATTCTAGACTTAAAAGAAAAAGAACCAGGTATCTGTATAAATGTCACTTTTACTGTCTAAAAGTAATTTTAAGTGTTGGTATAAAATGTCAGAAGAGTTGACAGAATATAACTATTTGTAAAAATAATCTGAATTGTTACGCCAACATACTCCTGGGAGGAGTGTGAGAGGGCACCACTGAAATTACGGACAAAATGGAATGTGGCAGTGACAATCTCTCTTCAACAAAAAATAAGGAGTAAAATTAAGTGAAATGACTTAGTTTCTTTTTTTGTTGTTTTTGATTTTAGTAGCATTCTGATTTACAAAAGAAAAAAAAATTAACCTTTTACAATTTAGTATACAAATGTACTGTGGAGAGGTTTTCTGGTTTTGTTTGTTTTTTGCTTTTTTTTTTTTTTTACTTTTAAAGTTTGTGGGGTTTTTTTGTTTGTTTTTTGTTTTTGGTGGTTGCAGAAATATTTACTATTCTAGTGATGCTAATGCCTAATGTGACAAAGTTTAATTTATTTAGGCCTCAGGCCTTGCAAGAAATTTTTGTGTGGCTAAATCCATTGCTCATATGGCATCCAACTGACATCAGTGAAGTCAGTGTGAGCAGGAGGATGGATGTACTATCATAGAAAAACTTGCAGGACTGAGCTGACTTTGATATATACAACGTAGTTACACAGTGACAGTCACATACAAAGGCTGTTTGACAACAGTCCATGGTATAGTAAATTCCACCTCCTGTCTTCAGCCTCTACGTTGATGTTCATTCAAAAAGTGGCTTTCTTTTTATGATGGTATTTATTTATTTAAGTGCCAATCATCAAACTGTAGTATAATAATCATGCCATTTTTCTGTTTCTTAGACCAGATAATGGAAATGTATTTGTGCCTTTTGATAGCATGCCACTTTGCTTTATTAAAGAAAAAATCTTCAATAATTTGTCTACAAAGCCTGTTTAAAGTATTTGAAAGCTTTACCATGACATACATTTCTGCTCAGATATGCTCAAATACTCATCTAAAGTAAACTGGAGACAATACTTTCAACTTTAAACACAAAATTGGCAAAAAAAGCTATTGAGATCACAATTCTAGTGAGGGTCATTGTGGGTGTGTTACTGCTGAAAAGATTCAAGTAGATGGAGCACATGGGGAGTATGAAAGGGTGTTTTGACCAATTTTTCAAGTTGTAGAGTCAGATAGAAAGTCTCTTTAGTTTTATTTAGGTGCTTAGATATAAAACATTAGCAACTTTTCTCAAATCTAAAAGATGATGAGGAACATATTCCCACCATTTTACCTCTGGAGTAACTGCGGTGAATATTTGTTTTGCAGTCATTTGTGGTCTCACCATCCCTGTGTAATCTGTCATAGGAATTCATACCTTTGTAAAGTGGTTGTGTCTGCTGGGTGGCATTCACTCCTGGTTAAAGGAGAGACCTACAGAGAGGTAGAAAACGCTATAAGTAGGGCCTTGGGGGAATCCAGGTCTCACTGGGGTTTAGGACACAAACTCACTTCAGTGGGGCCTGAATTTCATCCATTTGTCTCAGTGAGGCTCCACATCTCTTTGTCCAATTGAGTCATCTAGGTATAAGCAGAACTTAAATATCCTATCAAGCTCCTGCTAACATTTTGCACAGGGAAGGCTTGCCTGTGGAGCTTGTAGTGATCAGGAAACATGGATAAAGGTATCTGACCATGACTTATGTGTCCAGAATTAAGAAGTAAAGCACCCTTCCAAATAGTTTGTTATGATTGCAATGTTTTAAGTAAAGACATTCTACAAAGTATTGTTTCTTCTTAAATCACATTGTGTAACTTCAGATGCTTGTGCTGATCAATGCAAAGCTACCATGGTTGAATGGATAATTTTAAAAAATGTTCCATTCCCTTTTCAGATTGTTTCATATCATTCCCTGGAAAGCACTCACTAAATTTTAAGTGACCTTCAATATTTCTAATGTGTGTTTAGATCATTTCATTTGAACCTGAGCCAGAAAGAAACCTTTCTGTTACAAATTTG